GTGATTTCACACAATATGCCTAAAAAAATGTGATATATATGAGAAAATACTGAAAAAGTAGCTATTGCCAGTCAGTAAGGCCCATATCGTCAGTCGTCCCTACAATTGTAGGGCGCGTTTATGGCCTTCTTGATTGTCATACTCCTTTCTCTTCTTCAAAAATTTCTAGATTACACTTGCCCCGTGTCAGCGTCAGCGCTCTTCTATTGTGAAGATATGTTTTCTTTTTAAATTGTAGGAAATTTCAGGCTGATAAAACATGATATAACTCAAAAGCAAGCACAATTTGATGCAAATAGATGTTTGTGACATAACCTCAAAATAGAGCGCTGACACGGAGAAGTAGAAAACTATGACAATCAAGGAGGCCATAAAGGCGCCCTACAATTGTAGGGACGACTGACGATACGGGCCTAAATAATGAAAACATAACAAAGAAGAACATGGAACTTTTTTGCTGATTTGATGAAGTGGTCGTCGATCTTTATTTAAACTTAACACTGGAAGATGATATATTGGGTGGACCTTGCGACGTGGTTCAAATCGACGAATCTAGGTTTGGTATTTTTATATGACCGTTGGTGGTTTTTGTATTTTTTGTCACGCGAGCCGCTGGTGCAATTTCCACTGTTTAGACACGTACTGTTCGAAGTTTCATCTAATTTTCAGTAAATACTTCTTATAAGATAAGCTATTTACAATAAATTAGGACTGTTATTTTACAAATAACTTATTTTCTTATTATGTATTTCTCCCAAAAGATTACAACTCGGCAACAATGGACATCATTCATATTGTCTGTAAAGAAATGAACGTTAGTAAATGGCCATTGGGAATTATTTGTGCTTTCAAATATTTCTTATAAAAACAAAAAACTTTAATCTCATTGAAAATACGCGAAACAAAATGGTTAAGGAATTTCAAGAAAATATTCAAAAATCTCAACACAACACCTCTACACAGTTTACCAAGTAAATACCATCAGTTGCGGTATGTATTTTGAACTATTATTTTGACTTATCACACGGCTACTTTTGAACCTTTTTTTTGTAAAAAACAACGATTTTTTATAGTTTCACATCTATTTTCATAAAAAAATGATCATTTTTGCTGATTTCTTCAATTTTTTTCCGAAAAAAAAACACGAATTTCGGTCTTTATGCGCTAAAGTATAGTCTTAAAGGTACGTATTTGGAACCGTGATTTCAGCTTATTATACGGCTAGTTTCTAACCTTTTTCTTTTAAAAGCCAACGATTTTTTACAGTTTCACATCTATTTTCTTTGGTATATTATATTCTTATAGTTTAGAGCACCCTTTTGTGCAAAAAAAACAGCGTATAAAACAGTATTTATTCTATTCTAGAATACTATCACCAAAATTCCAAATTTGAAGTTCTATAAAATAACAAGCAGAGGGTTCCTTAAAGAAAAAATGATATTTTCGCAAAAGTTACATCCTAGTCTTTCATTTTCAAATAAGAAAGGAAATATTTGAGATAAGTAACTTGTTAATTATTTAGAATTTACTGCGTCCAGAGATACATTTCTACAATATTCCATTACCCTTATGCAATTTGTAGTTAACCATCAAATAATATTCGATTAATGAGTCCGCATACAAATTACCGTTCATCATTTCAGGAACGCATCGTGCCCGATATCCAATCAAAAGCATTATTTAGCTTGTATGTAGTTATCACAGCCAACGGTGTGAAGAATTCGGACCAAAGTTTGACTAACCTTTTTCCATACACACACCATACTAGATGCCTGCTGGCTTGGTAAATTGAAGTTAATGTTCTAGATAATGATAAGTTTACGTAACATTTACCGCGCTGAGTGAGAGTTCAGTGATATGCGTTGTATACGGGTTGTAACCATTGCATGGAGGTACTGCAAATATTAATTGAATTTATGTTATAACTTATTCTTGATTGTGACCGATTATGCAACCAGGAAGCTCATCATTCTACTGAAAGGAAAATTTAACTGATGCTAATATCATTTGGATCAATTAGCACGTCAGTGTGGAGCCCACATTATGCTGCCTTACCTTTCTATTTCCCATAACGGCATGTATTAGATGATTTGGACTAAACATCAACCATAAGTTTCCGCAATCTACACATATTGTGAACCTTAATATAACAATAAAATCAGGCAAAGTGAAGTGATTTGGTATTGATAACACTGGTCGACAAATTTAAATGTTTTAAAGCAACATTGATGAAAATAGGTCTATTTCTTTGTTATAAGGAGAAAAGGAGGATACAACATATTCTTACAATGTCATATATTTATGTAATATAAACATATCTATGCAAAAACATTACCGAGGATTGGTTGTAATGTGAATAAAAAATATATTGCACAACATTTATGAAATAGCGACAAAAACGTTCACTTGTTCCTTTTGTGTTCTGTAGCGTTATCCCTTTTTAAAAACCAACAGTAGTCGCCCAACATTGATGGGTTCCAGCGTCCCTGGTATCTTGTTTCCATCGTCCTGGTGTCCTGATGAAACCTCTCTCCTTGTTCGTCGCTTACTGCATCCAAATTTTCCGGGGAAAAATCCAAATGGGAGTGCAAAAAATATATTTTTACAGACATGCGACACCCTAGTAATTCATAGGTTTTCATCTATGAGGCTTTCATAGTCTTTATCTTTCTTGTTGCCGAAAAATCATTTCACTACATGTAAAAAACACGTCCAAGCTTCCAATTCCTTTTCATTTTATTGTTCTTGAAAAGGGAGATCATCTAGGAGCTTCCTTATCTGAGGTCCAATTTCTTCTTTTAATCACCTAGTTGAGGAAATATTTCTCTTAGGTACTGGAAACCATTACCTTCTTTATCCATGGCTTTGACAAAGTTTTTTATTTGTCCAAGCTTAATATGGAGAGGCGGTAGCAGTACCTTGTTGGGTTAACAAGGGGAGCATATTTATTATTTGAAGTACCAGTATGAGGCCAATCCTTTTTACTGTAGTGTTCTTTTGTTGCCCTACTGTCCCACAGACACAAAAAACAGCAATACTTTGTAAAACCCCCTTGAATTCCTAGCAATATACCTATGACTTTTAAATCTCCACAGATATCTCACTGACACTGTTAGCATGATTTAATATGGTTGCTGAGTTGTCTTAGGTTTCTTTCATCGTCACTATATGAGCTAAAGGAATAGATGGTTTTTTGTTTCCATTATGAAGCAGGACTGCTTCTAGGCTGTATTTCGACGAATTTGAATAAACGCCACTCGCTAGGGTCATGTTCCATATTAAGCTCAGTCATTAAACCATCAATATCACAACAGACACATAACGACCCTTCTATTTTAAAGAAACTTGATAATGTTACATTCCGTTTTCGGTAAAATGAAATACTGGCTTTTCTATCTAACAAGTTCCACTGTCTGGAACCAAGAAGTTCGGATTTTTGTTTTGACAATCCTAGGTCACGTACCAAGTTACTTAATTCATTCTGACCTATTAAGTGACGCTCCCTGGTAGCAGTCGGTAAGAATGTTGGGTCACAACTGCTGTTCTCAGGAAGTTATGGATCAGATTCTGATGAAGAATTAGAATCACCGGGAGACACGATTGTTCAGGTTTAAAGGCGCTACGGTACTGGTAATTCCTGTGAATGAAGAACTGGCCTTCGCGCAGAAGGCAAATTTGGATACTCTATTTTGTCTTTGTGCTGTTTTGAAATCACTTCTGTTTTATTGATGCAAAAGTAGCAATCACTTACATGGTCAGTAGGTTCTCTCCATACCATAGGAACAGCAAGCGGCATAGAATTTTTCTTGCGATACATCCACTGCACTAAATTTACGTGACAAATCACACAAAAAACATGAGGAACCCAACTTTTATGTTGATCCCCAATTTGGCACTTAAAATATAAAAAATAGGCTTCCTCAGATATAGATCTAGCTTGGGAGATTATAATGAATCGTCCACATATACAGGGTGACTTCGAAGTTGAGTCATTTATTTTAACAGTGAGTAGATCTGATCAAAAGAAATGTTTTTTTCCTTTACCATTTTTTTTAGTAAAATTAAAGTAACAAAGTTATAGCCCTTTGGAAGTTTGAGTACCGCCCTGTCTCAATAATAATATTATGTGCTCGTGTTTGGCGACAACGGATATAACTCGCCTTATCGGTTCATAGCATCGGAAACAAAAAAGCGAAAGAATTTGGAACGTTGTTTTTACAATTATTTCATTCAGTTGTATACAGTCAGTGTCAGTCGGTAGTGGATAGTGGTGTCTGTTGCGTGGCTCAAACGAAATAAAAAATGGCACATGTTTATGCGGATCGGTTTCCCAATCGAGTGCAACCAACCCCTCGTGCCTTTGTTAATGTAGTACAACGGGTTCGTGAATCATTTGACTTAAGACCTCACATATGGACGGCATGCCGGTGCTCCAAGACCTCACGATCAAATACAGGTCCGCACTGAAATACTTGTCGGGAGGATACTTTATAAAACAAGGTAAACTTTTTTTTTAATTTTTTTTTTATTTTTACACACATAATTTGGTTTATCTTCCTTCTACAATCATTATCTGAAAATTAATGACTCAACTTCAAAGTCACCCTGTATAAGTATAACAAAACTTATCGGCTGGATTTTTGCAACGTCGTCGACTCGAACTTGCCAATTCATTCCAAAATCTACTTAAACACTTGACTACTGTACAGAGACAGAAACCAACTGAACTGCAGAAAACAATGAAACTCTCACAGGTTCGAACAATACGAGGGATGTCTTTTAAGTTTTGCATATAGAAACATAGTAGGCCGCGCGGATCGAACGTCAGTACTGAATCTTCATTAGTAAACTTAAATTCAAAGTTTCACAACAATACGTGCAGTGTTCTCACTACAGTGAATTTTTAAGTGTCACCAAGTCACTAGAAAAATGGAACTCAACCGAGAACATTTTCGCGCAATAATTTATTAGAACTTTCAGAGACAATTATCGCAACAAGAATGCCTTCTGAGTTACTGTCTGTTTTCGGCAACGAAGCGCCACATCAGTCGACAATTTCCCGTTTATATGGAGAATTCAAACGTGGAGGGGTGAATCTTAGCGACGATTCCAACGTCGATGCTGTGCGCAGACTCATCATTGAAGATAGACATGTGACATATCGCGAGATTGAGGCGTCCTTGAAGATCTCAAAGACCTCAATTCAAAAAATCGTACATGAAGAATTAGGAGTAAGAATATTAGTTTCTCGTTGGATACCCCACCTGTTGACTGAAGAGCAGAAAGCAGCCAGGGTTAGTTGGTGTCAAAAAATGTGTACAGCATTGTTGGTGGTGATAAATCGTGTATTTACTGTTATGAACCGACAATAAACGACAGTCGGCTGTTTGGGTGTTCCAAGGTGAAGAAAGGCCAACAAAAGTCATCCTTACTAAGTGTTTCGAAAAAAGTAATCGCGACATTTGTGTCAAAAGCGGGTCATATTGCAACAATTCCTCTTAATGAGCTAAGAACTGTTCCTGCGGATTGGTATACGACCATTTGTGTCAAAAGCGGCTCATATTGCAGCAATTCCTCTTAATGAGCAAAGAATTGTTACTGCGGATTGGTATACCACCATTTGTTTGCCAAAAGTCATCACCGAGCTTCGAAAAAAATCAACCCCGGAAGAAGAATCATCCGCCACCAAGACAGTGCTAGCTCGCACACAGCCCAAAAAACAAGGCAGTATTTAACGGAAGACAACGTGGAATTATTGGAGCATCCTCCATATAATCCCGATCTAAGTCCTAACGATTTCTTTACTTTCCGGAAAATTGAAAACAGACTGCGTGGTCAAAGGTTCCAGTCACCAAAAGAAGCAGTTGGCGCATTCAAAAATGCCGTTTGGGATCTGCCAGCAAACGAGTGGAATAAGTGCTTCGAAAATTGGTTCGAGCGCCTGCAGATGTGTGTAAATCTTCGTGGAGAATACTTCGAAAAACAATAAAGTCTAAAAACTACCTACCGTGTTGTTTTATTTCCATATGCAAAACTTAAAACACATCACTCGTACTGTGATAATAACACCTCTGCAGTCTTCGTTCCGGTCCTATGGCAAGTAACAATGATTTCAAAGGTAGCATTAAAAAAAGAGCAGGGAATCGAAAATGGGACGTGCTAAGCCATTGCTGGGAAAAAGTGTTTTAATAACTCCCTAAATGAAACGCAAAATACGTATTCTTATTGGTGTTGCTCAAATTATGTCGACTTGTGTAATTGGCCATTTTCGAAATTTGGTTATTGTATTCCTTTCAAGAGCTTTTAGAATGTGATCTGACAAGAGACAAGTACCTTCACCGCGATAATTCCACCTCCAGAAAACACGTAAACGTGAACGTGGAGCCATGCGATTTTTGGAATGCAATTTATTAATCCGATAAAATGATGATGATTCAATGTATCTCAAAAGGTGAGACTAAAATAATATGTGCGTGGTCTAGGTGATATCAAAATGCAATTATCTATTTATCATTATTAGTTCTACAATAGTTCAATAGTAGGTCAGTTGCATAAGAACGTGAAGGCCTTTACTGACAAAAATGCACTAAATATTCGCTAAGGGTGAATAATGTGGAGGAAAAAAATTTAAAATATTATATACATAAAAGAGACAGGAATTAATATTTACAGTCAACACGCACCGTTAAGTTGGTGGCTTTTAGTTTTCAATAGATTGGCTGATGTGGCTACAGCTGTAGGTCAAATTGATACTGTGATTTTGAACACTTTTGAGTTTTAGCGGTTCTAAAGGTGTTTGTAATTGTTGACGTCGCGTAAAAATTTTACATATATTTTAGTAATTATATTTTTAAAGGATGTCCTTAAAAGTTGAATTTCTTAAGAGTTGAATCCTTGGTCAAAAATTGGTAACTACGTACTAAATTAGGGCACTAATAGACTTTTGAACAAAAGGTAAAATTGGTTGGTTTAAAACTACAAAAAAACACACCTCTAAAAAGTACTTAGAGAATTCTTGACCGCGAAGATGAATTCAAAGTTTATACCTTACGTCATTTTAACCTAAAATGTGTTCCTCAATGTTAGGTTCTTTTTGGTTATATTCTCTCTATATCTCTCTATCTCTCTATCTCTCTATCTCTCTATCTCTCTATCTCTCTATCTCTCTATCTCTCTATCTCTCTATCTCTATATCTCTCTATCTCTCTATCTCTCTATCTCTCTATCTCTCTATCTCTCTATCTCTCTATCTCTCTATCTCTCTACCTCTCTATCTCTCTACCTCTCTACCTCTCTATCTCTCTACCTCTCTACCTCTCTATCTCTCTATCTCTCTACCTATCTATCTATCTATCTCTCTATCTCACTATCTCTCTCTATCTCACTATCTCTCTCTATCTCTCTCTCTCACTTTGTCCACCGTCGCATTACCAACAAGGGCCAAAACCTGCAGCTTGCCTCGGTTTTCGGCCATAACTTTTTTGCTAACAGTTGGATCTTTTTACGTGTGGTCTCATTTTGTAGGTCTCATAAATGCCGAAACATCTTATATTTCGATTGTTTTCCTTGCTGCCAACACTTTCGATTGAAACGCGTTTTCTCATGCTTTGTTGTCAAATAAAAACTTTTCCCACAAAAATTGGTCTACTCATTTTATGCGCCCATGTTTTATATACCCCCTTGAACGACTTACAATATAAAACCAGACTTTACGATTATTTCGGAATAATTTGCTGATATGATTGGAGGACAACCAACACTGCCTACATTCATCAATCTGAAAGAAATATTACTGTATTGTTCGTACAAAACCCAAAAGCAGGACATAGTTTCACAATAACTTGGAATTTCACCTCTAAGAAATTATCAGGTCTGAAATAAGGTAAGGTCAACTATAAGTTGGAAGTGCATATTATTTCCATCGTAGAAATATTTACTGTTGGTTAGAATTGATCCCTACATGTTCAAATTCTGAAAACATCCATATTTGATATATTTTTTCAATGAACAGTAACTCTTTGTTTACATATTATGTTTTCAAAACTACCAAAGTTACCCAAAAACACATTATTTTACATACCTATAATTAACAATTTCGCGCCTAAAAACAAAACGTTATGTTGATATCAGAGTACCTAGTTAAGTTTTTCAACATTTCTTAACTTCGCTTATTTCTGAGGCAGCCATTTTGAGCAGCTATTGTGGCCACATTTAATGAAAAGAGTTCCTGCGCATAGATTTTTCATTCATCAGTGACCGAAAATATAATTTAGAAATAATTCTACTATAATCACTAATACAAATGGAAACCATACATATGTGCTTGGCTATAGATAAGTGCATCACCAGCTAATCTTATTTTTAACCAAGAGGCTTCCAACTATATTTGTGAGCAAGAGGCAGCGACCTAGTATGTTTTCTATATTATTAAATTTAAGGCATCATCATGTGGTGTTATATAGCAAAATGACTAAGATTCTACCTCATGATGACCTAAATAGTTGTTTAGTACCTTCAACCTAGTAGTCTTAAATGCCTCAACGACCAGATATTGAATTCTGAATTACTTTGGTTTTCTTAAATTTCTTAAATTTGTCCTGCAATCTTTTTAACCTATTTTTGATCAAATTAACGTAATGATAACTCAAAATGTTTGTTGTGTGATGATTACATAGATCGTAATGAATTTCCTACTATGTGGGGTCTACAATGGGAAATGCTGGAAGAATCTCTACCGGGCGGCTTAACTCTTCATATGTACAATATACAGGGTGTCCGCAATGTTGGGGTTTTCCTTTTCAGTAACAACTACCCTTGAAATAACAAAGGTAATGTGTAGTGAAACGAGGGCGACCAAGTAAAAAAAATAAAGGAAAAAGTACTCACTCTCCAGTTGACGAGAAGGGCTAAGTACGACTCTGTCCGAAATCATACCGCTCCAACAGAAAATGAAATCAGCTGATGCGCTACCGAGCAGACGCCGGCGGTGGTGCAGACCACGAACAGAGGTAACAAATAAGACGGCGTTGCCGAGTTTTCAGTTTTTAGGTAAACGTACTTTATAGGTATTGTTCGAAGTTATCGCCGTTTGATTCAAAAACACAGATGCGTGCACGACGTAGCCAAGCATCGGTCCAGGCTTTGAGAATGGAGTCCCTCCCCCGAATGAAAGCACCAGCTTGTTCAATTCTGAGACGAAGTTCGTCAACCGTATGCACTTCAGTTTTGTACACTAAGCGTTTCATTTCTCCCCAAAAAATCACATGGTGTTAAGTCGGGTCCATTACGTCCAATCCACCTATTCGGGAATAATTCATTCAAAAACTCACGCACTTCGCGTCTAAAATGGGGCGATGCACCATCGTGCAGAAACCACATTGATTGTCTTACACTTAAAATGGCACATCTTCTAACAAGGAAGGCAAAATGTTGCGTAAAAAGTCTAGGTATTGCATCCCGTCCAATCGATTTGGGAGAATAAATGGTCCAATGAGCATACCGTTCACCATGCCAGCCCAAACATTCACCGAAAATGTTTGTTGAAAATGTGCCCGATGGACAGCGTGCGGATTTTCTACTGACCAAACATGAGTGTTGCGAAAGTTATTCACCCCAATACGCGTGAACGTAGATTCGTCTGTCACCAATATGCACTTCAAAAAGTCCGGATTATTGTCATGTTGATGCAACAACCACTCACAAAACCGCACTCTTGCTGGAAAATCGTCAGGTTGAAGGGCTTGTACACGTTGGACGTGAAACGGTTACAGCCCTCTTCACGCAGCGTTTGCCACACTTTAGTTTTTGATACTTGCACTTCTCTAGCCACGTCTCTAGTGTTTGTTGAGGGATTCTCGTCTACGCGATTCAGTAGTTCTTCCTCAACTTGCACCATTCGTGGTTGTCTAGGCCTCCCACTGTGCCCATCTCGAAATTCCTCCAAATGGCCCGTATCCCTGACTCTCTGGACCAGGTACACAAATCTGCGGGGCCTTGGATGATGCCGTCTATGGAAACGATCTGCATACACTCGCGACGCCTCTGTAGCATTTTGAAGACATTCGTCATAAATTAACAACATATCAACGAGTTCATTATTGGTGTATGAGTGTGCCATTATTTTTTTTTTAAACGCAATCGATTATACGGGTTCGTTTACATCAACACGCGTAACCGTAACCGTCGGTTGAAGGTTGCATACTGACCTGACACACTGACCCCGACCCAGTTCTGTCGTCAGGTTGAGCTAGTGTCCTAGTACCACTCGGGGATGTCGCGGGTCGCGGCTACAGGACGGTATTCAGATATTTTTGATGTTGCAGAGCCCTTTATCTCGGTTCCCTTAAGACATTGGTGTATATGGTACTAAGAAAAATTGCTTATGTTTTCAAGATCTACACGTCGCGTAAAGGAAAACCCCAACTTTGCGGACACCCTGTACAGTTTTCTCTCACTGTTTCAAGGAAATGAAAAATAAAGGAAATTACTAAGCATCATCATAAATGCGTTTCAATTGCACTATTTTACAAATGCTGACGCGCAGCGCTTGGAAACAACTATTAATTTTTGTACTTTTTTACCACAAAACCAAACTTTTACAAGTACTCAATTACATTTCGATTATAAGTACAAATGAAAAGATATTTATTATGGCGATTAAGCCCTATTGATTTCACTTTATCTGAATAGATACCGCATACAATAGGAGATACAATATTCGCATTCCACAAGCCCAAATACAGCACCAAATATCCTTTGTATCTGTGAAATTATATACCTGTAGCTTTCCATTTCCAATACAATTCGTATTATTTTCAGACACAGCCCGGAGCTAGAAACTCCATAATAAACTATCGAAATTATGAATCGAAGGTGAAAGGTTGCGAAGATCTATCGAGTCATGGTGAGATACAAGGTAAGAAAGTGATAAAAATAGTAACAATGTTAAGTGTGACGCTGTTGTCTTTGTCATATACCATTTTTGTTCAA